AAACGAGGCTGCCGACCAAGTGTGTTCCCTACCGAGGACGACCGCCTTGATCTCACAGCCATCATGCTTTTCCAGGCATACACGGCATGTCGGCCTGCAGAGCTTGTCGACGGGACAAAAGCCAGAGTGGCTATCGATCCTATGATGGATGACTCGGATGTAGAAGATGCCGGAAGCAGCGCGCGGGCTACGGCTGAGACGACGGCGCGAACTCGCAAGCAGGAACCCTGCAAACCACGCACCTCGAGCCGCAGAATGGACCAGAAGCGGAAGTAAATCACCAAGTCAGGCTACGAGTCCGAGACCGATGTTGATCCTGATGTTGACGATCCTGTTTTTTACGGAAGCGATGACGGAGAAAGCGACAGCGACGGCGATGGAGACGATGCGAGCGACACTGAGTACAACGATCAAAGCAGCGAAGATGTCGACATGTTTGCGTTTGAACCAAGTCCGCGCCGGCCAGTTTGACAATGGAACAGGATGAAGACAAAGAGGTCATCCGGCTGCCAGAAATGGCGTTTTCTTGTGTTTGCTCAAAATGGCCGGTGGAGCCAGCGCACCGCCACATCGCCTGCCCAAAAGGGCTCTACTATTATCCTTGTTTAGTAAAAGAGGCACACTTGTTCCGCCTTTGTCTGTATGTACCAATTGTTATTGGCCTCTTGTAGCTACCGGTGAACATAGACTGGCATCACGGACGGGTAAGCCAGAGTCTACATGCATCCTAGACCAGGCTGTCACTATTATTGTTGTTTTAGAAAAAAAAGTGACACTCTATTCGCCCTTCTCTGTAACAATTTATAAAGCTGAGTACCGAGAATGGCACTTGGGCATGAAGGTTTGGGCGAAACAACATGGCTGCTGTTTGAATGTCTGGTTCGGGCTTCGATGAGGGCAGAGCAGAATGTAGACGAAGCGGCAAGTGTGAAGTGAAGTGTAGCCAGAGAGGTTTAAGTTAGCTAAGGCACTAATACATACGCAATCTGCCCCCCCCTCGTCATATTCCATCTGTCGGCGCGCCGACTCTAGTTATCGCAGGCTTGCCAGCTGCTGGGTGCGTAGATTTGCCCCGACACGACTGTTGTCCGTGCGAGACGAAAAGCTCCTTCCGCAGATACTTATACACGGCTTCCTGGAGGGTGCTATGTAGCCGTGACAACTTGTAATTTAGCCAAACGGGACCGTGTTTCGTCGATTGCCTTACATTGTTTGAGGAGCCAAAGAATACAGCGCAGTCCTAACCCCACTCCTTCCAGTTCCGCCTTACTCAATCCTGCTGCTACAGAGCCGCGTCTGAGTCGTCTGAATAAAATACGCCCTATTACGGACGCCGATGCGCGGATACATGGCTCGCTGGGATCCGTACGGCGCCTTTTTCCACGATCACTTCGCTTAGCTGGCCAGCGTAAATAGTGTACATCGCCATTGTCCTGACTGCCATGCCGGTCAGGCTGGCGACGGAGTCCCTCACAGTAAGGCGTTTTAATCTACGTCGTACGTCTTTATGGTGTTTTCTATCTTAGGACCCCTCATTGCCGCCTTAATTATTGTGCTTCAATTCTGTGGTATTTTTATAACTAGATATAAATAAGAATCAGGCAAAACAGAATCTAATTTATATTTCAGCTTTCTCCTTATACTGCCACAGCTTACGGCTGAACGAGAATATAGGCCTCTGTGGCATTGTTCATTAGTAAATAAAAAATAAAAAATAAAAATAAACAAAATAAACAAAACTCTAGCTAGATACCTGCTAAATATGTACCCAAGTCTTCGCTTTATATAGTCTTATATACTCGCCAACGGGCAAGTGCTTCCATATCAAGATCTTAGTCTCTTCGAGAGACAGTCCTGGGCTAAAGCAAAGTACTATTCCATGACTGTCAAATACCTTTGGTATATTGCTCATCGTAAGACCCCTCATAGATCTGAGAACTAGTCGCCCTTGGAGCAAGCAGCTCATTGCTCTTGAGGTCATGTCCGCGTGGAGAAGACACTCTGTTATAGCATATGAAGACCGACTTAGCTCTCTCGCCCCTACCTCTATACATCCATTAGTGAATTGAACAACCATGAAAGTCCCCGCGTTAAAGACCTCCAGTTCTCCATTTCCATTATATCTTGCGAAGAACGCGAATGTTTCAATGTAAAATAATATTTCATTGTTTTCGCTTAACTAGATGAATAGGTTAGCCTCATGAATGCGGGATTAAAAGGATGACGCACATCATTCCAAATACGACAGAGCTCGCCCTTTTCCGTAGGACTCTCTGCGAGAAAACTAGCCAACGAGGAGCCAACTAAGTTCATCGTATTAGCCGATTAGAGATATAGGAAGAGAAGGCGAATCAGGGCTATACGTACAGACGGGGAAGCCAGATCGATTAGGGACTCTAGGAGTAGCCACCGGTTCATACCTTTCTAGCTGAGCATCGGGCGGCTGGCTCCATTCTGATATAGCCGACGGGAGATCGCACGGTCTGTGGTGAGGGAAGCCCTTTTCTGTAGGACTCTCTACGAGCAAACTAGCCGATAAGGAGCCAACTATATGCAAATTCATTATATTAGCTAATTAAAGATATAACAAGAGAAGGCGAATTAGGGCTATACGTACAGACGGGGACGCTAGATCGATTAGGGACTCTAGGAGCAGCCACCGGTTCTTCTAGCTGAGCATTAGGCGGCTGGCTCCATTCCGACATGGCCGACGGGGAATCGCACAGTCTGTGGTGAGGGGAGCTAGTAGCTAGAGGCGAGCGTAACGGAGGTGAGTTTCTAGGTATGATGCCTTCTTTTATCGGAATGCGGGTCTTAGGAGGATCGTAGGAGCAGCTTTTTCCTCGCTCCTTGCAGCGTAAGCAAGGGGTCTGTCCGTCGCACTATCTCGTTCTCGTTAATAACTTCCCTTCTCCCTTGCTTAGGTGGTTATCTAGACTCCCATAGATCGTTTTCGGAATAGTTTCTATCGTACCTTTTGCTTGGATCTATGACAGTTCTTGCAGGCCTGACGAACTCGCCCTCGCTGCTGGTCGAGAACTCTAGAGCGTGTCATTACGTGCAACGGCATTAGGATGAATTTGAAAAGAAGGAGGGGAGCGTACTGCGGCATCTGCTGGTCAGAATCGGAGGGCTTCCCCACGGTGTTGATGAGGCTTCCTCTCTCGCTTTTATAACTAAATTGACAGCCATCGACGCTGCATTTCAAGGGTTGCTCGTCGTCGTTGTGCTTTTTTTTTATATGCATGTGTAAATTACCATGCTGGTCACGATGTCAGTGATGTGCGACGTTATTAAGAGGACGGAGTGTCGTACGCGAAAGAATCTGCCCGCGCACTTAGGGTCGTCGCAACTATAGAACTTCTCGGGCTTGCCGATGCGAGCGTGAGAAGACATGATGTGATCAGGAGTATAAGATGTTTCGCTAATCTTGAATTCGGACGCGCGACCCTCTAGAGTCCTGCTGGTGTTGGGGTCGTGCTCAGCCGCGCTGGTGATGACTGCGACGGTGACTGTCCCTGTGGTCGTTGCGTCTAAATCGGCAGCTATTGCTGGAGGGACCTAAGACATTGGTTATATGGTGACGATTGTGAAGAGAATGGAGTATCGTACGTCAGAGTATCGTCTACCGCAGTCAGAGTAGCTGCACCGACAAGCCTTCACGCCGGTGTGGATTCGGGTGTGAGCAGCTGAGGATGTGGACTGGTTAAAGCTTTGTTGGTGCCATTATGGTTAGCTATATCTAATAGTAGAATTGGAAAGATGACGTGAAACTTACTAAATTGCGCGGGTAGTATTGCACTGGAAGCGACTAGTAGCAAGCTTATACTCGAGAATATATGGACAAAAGAGGGGAGGAAGTACGAGAGGTGATTCAGAAAGTCGATGAAGGCAGTGAGTGAGAAAGTTATATACTATACAAGACCTAGTAAAGTAAAGTGATGATGGAGTCTCGGGGGAGAGGTACTAGGGGTTTCAATAAGCGACCAGAATAATCTCGAAATAGACTAGGGAGGGTAGGTAAAACTAGGAATACGAAATTACGTGGGTAATAGTTATCAGCCACGACAGGTAGAGGAGTTGAGTGTAAGCTTGGGCTATTACGGGATCTCAGATGCCTGTAGGTCACTATGAAGTAAATACATAATGGATATTGTTTTGTCCTCTCCTCGTTTGTCGACTTAACCATATTAACTGGACGTAAGGCGCCTGCAGGATCCTGACTAGCTAGGTGGCTGGAAAATTGTGTAAGGGGAGGGGTTAAGGGGGTGGTTAAAGAGACAAGCATCACAAGAAAAAGTATCTGTGCGTGATACACGATGTGGAGTGACTAGCCGGGGATATGGCCCGACCTGGGCTGGTATAATGGCTGCACCCAGACCACGCAGCGAAGAGAGCAAAACGATCCCGGGTGATAGGCGGTACCACCGACCAACCTGGTCGCGCCCACAGACCAAGTAGGGTCCGCCATGGGGATGGGGAAAGCTTTTACCCCTGTCACTCAAAGTCTCGATCTTGACAGTCTTGGTAGCAATGTGAAGTCGAGAGTTCTGGTCTACTATGAATTGGCTGTCGGCGATTGCGCCGACAGGGGAAGGCCTTCCAGGTGGCGGTGCTAGTAATCCCGAGTAGCAAGACAGCAAGAGCATAGGAAAAGCACTGAATTAGTACTCTAGACAGAAACTTTAGGCGAGCCTGACATATTTTTGTAGCTCCTAGTTAAATGTTGCCAGTAACCCGCGACTATTGAAATGCGTGATGTAGCCATCAAAGCTAAAGTTGTCTCGTCGTCGTCTCTTCCTTCCCCTTAGCACATCTTGCTCCTCCGACCCCGACTCATCATCGCTCACATAGCCCTGCGTTTCGTTCTCGTCACGGCTTGGTCGCCGTCTCTTTGAAGGGTCACCCGCGGGGGTTGCAGTCCTTTTTATCCCTTTCACTCGCCACAGAACGTATTACTGTCCGTAGATGGTCATATCCTAAGCTACCATCTCGTGATACTGCAATCCAATACCTGGACTCTGCTGGAAAATGCATTATTCGATAATAGTCTAAGACCGTCGAGTCCGAAATTGAAACTGATATATCGTAGAAATTCGGCATTTCCGTCACGTCAACGAAGTGTTCGGAACGACTCTCATCGGTGACATAAATGGAGATCGAGCGATCAGAAGGCGAAACATCACGGGACTTGACCACTGGAGGGCGAAAATCGTTATCGTCTAACTGGCAGATAATTTTTTGGAGGTGCTGGCCAGCTTCCATAGATATGCCCGGGAAAAGCTCAAGGCGGCGTCTTGTATCGGCACTCTTGAGCCAGCGCAGCCAGCTCCAGGGCATGATTGCGGCAAGCGAAGCTGGGTTGTTGCTAATAAGCCGTCGGCTTTCCGTCTTCGAGTCTTCTTATATACAATGACAAGAGGCTGTAGCCGTGCAGTGACTCTCAGGGCAGGCGGTCGGCACGGCGCTGCGCAGGGGAGGGGTGCTCCGTCGACACCCAGCAGGCCTACAATCGCACAAGCCCTGCCGTGAAGGATGGCGCCGGAAGAGGGTGGTGGACATTAGTTGAATTACACTAGACCAGGGGTGAGGTGTGTCCATAAGAATACATTCATCATTGCCACCGAGGGTTGGGTGGCGGAGTCAGATACCTGCAAGCAGGTGTGTTCTGTTAGTTCTCCCCGGCTCGAGCACTTCTGTAAATTCAGCCCAGAGTGCCTGCACCCGGCGGATAACGGGCTATCCTCCGTCGGCAACCTGCGTGCCAACGACTTTCGACAGCTGCCAAGCGCATGACACAATACCGTGAACGCCCCCGGCGTTACGAGAGAAAGGAGCAGCGCCGACGGATTGATATTCACGAGCCCCATCTACTATAACTGCACGGGTACCATTATTTTTCTTTTCCCCTCCTTCTTTTTTTGAGTGATCTTCTCTGTTTGATCTCCTTGATTGCCGATGCAAATTATCTTACGCAAGATGTCGGATGACAAGCAGGACGCACTGCCACCAAACGTGAAGCACTACTAGCTTCGACCCGTCGTACTCAAGACCATTGTTTTACATCCGTGATGCCCTTTGTTACGTCACTCCGAACTACGTCTTCCCGAATGATGCGTAGTAGATGCGTATGATCCGATATTCTTTCGCGGGGCATCTTTGTCTCTGGGTTTGCGGTATCCCCTAGAAATATCTCTAGGCTGCTTTGCTTTTTGCTGTTATGTAGGTCATGCTTCTCTAAACGTGATATCATATGTTTGACGTCAACGTTTTTGTGCGCATTATGTCGAAAGTTCGCAGATCGAAGACCTTCCGCGTTCTGAGCGGCCGGCTGGTCCGTAACTTGGCTTCGAGCTTGAGGGTGTACCTTTCTAGTAGCAGGATTTTTGGATGGGGCCTGGGAATCTGTGGCCGCCCTTAGGCAGGCAGATTCGCTGATTGATCGGCTTTGGTGGATGGCTCTGGGCCGACGAAGCCGTCAGACTAACCATGCAGCTGTGACAAGACTACTCTCTGCCTTGCATGATGCAGCCACCGTGACCAGGAAGTGGTCACGAATAGTGGTGGCGACGGACAAGGCCGGCGAGGGAGAGCCACCAGCTCGAGTAAAAGAGCGAAGTTACCCGCCAAAGGATTAGGTCCATGCTGCTAAGGCTCCTAGTATATCGTTTCCGAGAAATGGCTGGTTTTAGTGCCGAGGCCTCAGAACTGTGTTGAGCACAGCGAGACTGTTGCCCATGCTGACGCCTTCAAGTCAAGTAGTCTGTGGTATCAAAAGCCAGTACAATTCGCTACGGCATCACCGAGATTGTCTGCAGCAGACGGCTGTGTCCTCTAGTGCTGTTCAATAAGGCCGGCACATCCGCCTTCGTTTATTCGTCAGGACGCGTCCCGTGCCGCTGTCGGGTCTTGCAATTTACACGGCCAATCTTAAAATTTACAAGCTGGTACAGAAAGCCAAGACAAGACCTTCTTTAGCCACCCACCACCAGACGTGAACGGAAGCTTCCCGCACGACCGAACTGAATCGGATGAAGTCACCGCAACGTCTCAAAGAACAGCCACATGCAGGGGCCACTGCCCGGGGGGCCTAAGCTAGACCAGCTGATAGTATTCAGGAGTCCTTTGCGCAGGGTCCAAACATTGCGATCTGAAGATTGCTGGAAATCTGATATAAGATACGTACAGATACTCGCTAAGACGATCCTGCTTCCGACCCCTAGATTGCGAGAAACTGTTTCCAGACAAGAAGCTTGGTAATTTCGTAGTTGCGTAAATGGTGTCCCCCCCCCCCCCCCCCGGGTCCGGAGCAAACGCAAGAGACGGCACGGTCATTTCGCAGCTGTTTCCCTGCGGTCTCGCGAAGATGGACCGGCGCGCTGATGCAGTTAATCAGGCTTGGACTGCTGGCCTGCAGCCTCGAAGGTAGGAATCCACGGGAGCTGGACAGCCCACAGCAGAAGCCTACATGGGTCGAGCTTTGAAAAGCCTGCATAGATCGGCATGCGGTGAGCGCTCACACTGAGAAAGGCATTGACTTTACAACAACCTCTTTTTTGTCAATGATAAGGTATTAGGAGCCTGACAAGGATGCCGGAGACCGGGTCATATTCCCTGCGTCCCTGTATCTTCGGCGTAGTTGTGGGCGTAAAGAGTACGTTGGTTCTTCTTCACCACCGATGAATAAGTACCCAACATCTACCGCCCAACAATTCATCCACTATGCTCGTCAGTGACTGCCCAGGAGGCAGCGCATTCTCAGGCATGGTCAGAGTCAGCGATAGACTCGGTTGCCGGTTGCTCGCTGTCCAGCGATCGGTTTGGACATGCACGCCACCTCGTAAACCCACGGCCGGCATGGTTTGGGCTGAGCACTTGGTTTACCCGCGTACAGCCTTGTGGGCCAAGAAGCAAACGTCAGGCTGTCAGGCATACTCCTGATATATTTATAATGTCACATGCCCGGTTTTGTCAACCTCGCTCCGTCTTGACTTTCACATAGTCGCCTGCTAATTGCTGAACATGAGTGTCCCGACAGGTGGGGTCGTCGAAGACGACGCGGCTTATCTTTGTTCCGGAGGGGTATTAACTACTGTGAACCCCGCGGCGATAATCTTGACGACGCCCGAAAGCAAAATGCAGCACACGACGATAGCCCTCACGGGCGAACAAATCGATCTTGTCTCGGATGCGGCCAAGACATTGAAGAAAGACTCCCCAGAGGAAATGCTCGAGCTTACTTGGCGCCAAAAGCTTTACGAAGCACTGAAAGACTGGACGGTATGCTGTTCACCCCACCTCCCCGGGATGCAGATACTAACGAGGAAATTGGAAAAGCTACGAGGCCAGGGTCTACCTTTCGAGAAGGTAACCACCTCAACAAAAATGATCAAGATGGCTCGAACACAGGAGTTCAGCGTGAAGTATTCTGATGCTGTTGTCGCGGTCCAGTTAGTGGGCTCAGAAACACACGTGAAGATACTAAGTCCTGCCGCCATCCCCTATAGATGGCCTAGAGGCACCGCTTGTATTTTGCCCCGAGGATGGATGTTGCGGTCTGATGAAGAAGATTCATATTTTTTTATGATAGCCATAAACACAGTACGATAGAGCAAAGCGAAGCTCTCACTAGGACCGAGGACTCGTGCCTCGGTCCTCTCTCGACTTCCTACTGCTCTATAGCCTTCAATCAGGGTTTGGTGTAATGAAAGCCTAAAGCACGGATTCCCTCGTTACCTTGAATTGAATTAATCGCAATTTGCGGGTGCACCGATTGAACTCGCCGGGGTATGATGACCGTTAAGCCGTCATAAAGGTGTCGAAGGTAGGATCAAAGCCCGAGTCATCGATCCCACCAATAGCTTCGCTTGAGCTACCGTGCTGTATCCCACCATTTGTGGGTGCACCGTCTGAGTTGAATTCGCTCGGGTACGATGGCATACGGCCCATCATCAAGATGTCATAGGTAGGATCGAAGCCCGAGTCATCGATCCCACCAACAGCTTCGCTTGCGCTACCGTGCTGTATCCCACAATTTGCGAGTGTAATTACGTCGTCTGAATTGAGCTCGCTGGGCGGTGATGTCGAGTCGTCTGACTGAAAGGCGAAGAGAGCGTCAGCTCCACGACGCTGTATCCCGTAATTTGCGTCCGTTGGTAGTTGGGCCATCGCAAGTGTAAGCATCTCGCTGGAGTTTGTCCTTTTTCGAGACCGAGAAGGAAACGGCCGCAACGAGGTCTCAATTGCCGGAGCAGAAGCGGGGAGCGGTAGCGGCATGTTATGTTCTCCCAGTACAGTGGTGTCGAGTGAAAGCCTAGGCGATGCAGTGCTCTCGTTACCGGTATTGTCAGAGTTAGAGCTTGAGGGGAGGTCGGTTGTGATGTTTCCTACTTGGGTTTCGTTGGAAAACTCTGTCTCTGGTTCGTGAGGCGGCCTAGCAGATGTTTTGCGCCAGTGACAATCCTGCCAACCGCAGCCGTCCGGGAATAACGTAATATGATACTGATAGTACACCCACAAGAGACAGCCTGCGGCTATAACTTCGAGTTTTACCTCTTCATTAAACCGGTCCTTTTTGGCCAGGACCTGTAGCTCATGGCTTGTTTTGGCGCCTTCGCGTGTCAAGTCGTCCACAAGCTCGCTAGATAGCTTGACCTCGTACCTATACGTTCAGCCTCATTTATATAGCGTTGATGATGGACTGACCTGGATATGCATTTAGAGTTAAGGCGAGCGACTGTGCTGGCCGAGAACTGCTGTGATATGTCCTTATATTTCATCCCACGAGCCAACTCATCTGTGATCTTCTTTGTGACTTCCTTCTTCGTCAGCTTATTTGAAGGAACCTGAAGTTGCGCATTGATAATCATGCCCTTTGCTTGAAAATTTGTCAACTTGTTACGCGCTGATCCGAGTCTGGCGCACTCGACCAAGTGGTCCCGCAGGAATACAACGGCCATAGGATGGAAGCGTAGGGCGACGGCAGCTGAGGTCAGTGTTGAATCGGTCTTGGCGTGATTTTCGACAATATCCTTGCACGCTTCCAAGCCGCGGCCATGATTATAAAAAAATCCCGCGGCCGATGCAAGTGCCTCTCTCTTCAAGTCGTCCTCTGCAGCAGAGAACAGCGGTTGAGAATGAGGTCCAGCAAGCTGAGACAAGATGCTTGAAATAGCTTGGGTAACAGACGACGGCTGCTGTCTGGGAGGTTGGCATAGCACTTTAAGCGTATACGCAGGGCCATGAGGTAAATTCTTGGTCGGATCTCTCGTTTTGAACTTCGGCGTGACTGCAGGCAATGATACTGCTGCTGTCGCAACATCTCCAGTTGATCGCTGAGGGCATATTTGTTGACTGGTGCTAATCAACGGCTCGTCAGACAGCTGTGGAGTGCAAGGCAGTCGCCGTTTCTTCCTCCGCGATGGATTGGTAGGATTCAAATCGTGGAACGACGGTTCGAGAGGTGACTGTGGAGTGAGAACCTTTTCCGCCGGCTCGCGACATGGTGTTTGTTGGTCAGACGACGTCGCCGATGCGCACCTGTACTGGATTGTAGGGAAAGAGGTGACTGCGTGTGTGGTTAGCCGGATATCACCTTGTGCTGGCGGTTGAGCGTGAATGGGAAAAAAAGGATAGAGCTGCTGGTGTATTTTCCGTTTAGCTTCGTATGGCAAGCCTGACCAAAATACTAGAAAGAAGTACGGCACGCTCTCCGGGTGATTCCAGTCGATTGATTGTTTGTGCGCCATAATGTGGGCACATTTGAAATTAATGCTGCTAGTTCCATGTTGTACGGCTGTAAAGAGACTGGACTCTAGCTCCTATTACCTGTGGCTTAGGCAATGGAGGCACGTGACTACGCCGAATTCGTCCTTAGCGCCGTTACAGGGATCTCAGTTTTCATAGAAAACCTGAAAACTGAGATCCCTGCCACTTATCCGCCTTGATGGGAGGAGTTTTCAAGCCACTCACAGGGATCTGCACCAATCGAGACGCCGCGGAATCATCAGGTAGCGCAATCATGTAAAGCTACAGCCGAGTATCCGTGGCGTTCTGTGCCAGTACACATTTGACTAAGGAATCCGCTTGGGGAAGCTCCTGATCATCCCCTACTGTCGAGGCCGATATATGCCCAGGTATCGGCTTGAATTCGATTGCCGGGGTCCGGAATAGTCCTATATAGTACGAGAGCGCCGGAGGCAGAAATGGCCTTCCGTGCAGACCTTACCGCAACTCAACATGGAGCAGTTCGACGCAGAAGTAGACGCCATTGAAAATGGTGTTATCTGTGTGCTTGGCATCCTCTTGTATATCGCTATTATTCATCAGCGCTGGCGTCACCTCAAGACCAAGCCTAGCGGGGAGAAGTGGTACTGCCATATCTCTCTCGTCCTCTTGTCCATTTTCGTCATTGGTAGCATACTATGCTCATCGTGGTTTGGTATCGCATGCAGCCGCGACTCGCCGGCGCGCGTTCCCAGCGTCATCTGGAAAGCAATAATGGTCTTGTGTCTCATTGTCTCTAAGGTATGCCGCTCTTTACGACCGTATAGCTATCTAGACTGATAATCACAGCTGCATGTCTTCAATCAAGCTCTACGTCCACAGACGCTCATCGGGTACTATGCCTGCATATCAATTCTGCCAGTAGTCTGGGTCGGGGTCAGTGTCTGGCAACAGCAGTATGCTGCGCTATGGGCCTTTCCGGGCTGGATTTACTTGACTTGTGCGGCTGCTTTTTTCATGCAATCGATCCGAACATGCAAGCAGGCTTGGAGTCGACGTCGCTGTCTTATGCTTGGTCTGATGAATGCGCTCGCTGGGACGTCAACTGCTGCGCTAGGCATATTTTCGGTTCTGATTGTGACGCCTCCATTTCATTTCGACGAGCAATGTTTCATTATCCTTCTTGAACTGGCGCTTACGGTTGTGTATGCTGAGAAACAATTGAGGGCCGCCAAGGCGGAGGGAATCAAGCTCCAAAAGCAAATTAGGCAAGGAGTACACAATCAAGCCAGGATTCGCCAACCGAATGAGGCTTTGGAATACTGTTTGTCACATATGATCCAGACCAGCGAGTGTCTGAGACAAATACCAATATAGCGAACAAGAGCTTGCCTTGCATATACTTACTTTCCTGCATACTATCTCATATCGCCAAGCGCTCAGTAGCTAGCTGTGCGGGGTCTTAGTTAACAGCGACCCGCAGGTGCTCAAGGGGCCTGTCAGGATTCTCGACGTTGGAACTGGGCCTGGAATACTGGCGGGGTAATAACATTGGGATTCACCGCAACGCAAAACTAACATTATACAGGGAGCTGGCGAAGCGCTTCCCAGACGCAGATGTAATAGGAGTGGACGTCTTCAGCAAGCAGCCGAATTTCCAGAGACTTGCGAGTACCAGTCTGGCAACATCGAAGAGCCTTGGGAGTTTGAATTCGGGTACTTCTGTCTCATCTTCATACGAAATGTCGGAGTATACATCAGACATCACAAATGGCGTAGTATTTACAGCGAAATTCTACGCTGCCTCAGACCAGGGGGGGCACTTTGAGCATAGCGAGATAGACATCTTGTCTGACAAGCCAATGGTGGAGCGCTGTCTGCACTATGAGCTCAGCCGGACAAATTTCCCGTCTCTCCCGGCGTGGGAGCGCTACGAAATTGTGTCAGAGTTTGCTGCTCTCTTCGGAGGCCGGCACTCCAACATCGCGCACGATATGCATAACCGATTTACCGAGGCTGGCTTTGCCAACGTCATCTCAAGAGATGTCAGGCTCTCAGCCTGCCATCTCGTCGGAGACCTTGAGAACCGAATCGCAGCTCTCCATTCTATTTTGGCGGAGCCCCAATTTGGCGAAGTTGCCTCGGAGAGATATATGCAGCTTATCCCAACGCGCGCGGAGTTGTTTTGGGACGGTAATGCGCGACAAAAGAACAACTTTGCCAGGCGGTAAGACACACAGGACATTGTTGAATTCGTTTGTTAACGTCATTAGCATCATTGTTTACGGCCAAAAGAGATCTTGCCATGAGCATCGGGGATGACATTGTCATGAGGTCGTCGTTCGGTAGTCAGTTGTAAAGGGTCAAGTGAAAATTCTGATTTCTGTAGATCTGATGCAAGCTTTGACACGTAGTCTGGTATTGTTCGTAGCTATGATGTACCTTCTCGGCATTCTGTCTTGGCCTCCGCGCTTGATGTCACGGTAGTACCCTTACGCATCCACGATCTACGATAGCTCCAGGTGCTGTATTATCTCCCTTATGAGCACCTCGGACGGTGTGCACGCACTCAACATGATCCTGTCCCGTGACAGCGTCGGAACTCGAGCTGCGTGGACCGCCGCCTACTAGTAAGGTGCAGCCCGGCATAATCTGCGTAATTACTCGAAAAGGCTATAGACAATACCCACTGAGGCTCTTCTGAGTCCAAGGGAGCTCTGAAACAGTGACAGCGTGATGTACTTGTGCATTGCTGACTTAGCTGCTACGTAATATAGGGTACACGCGGAGAGTTCGGGACTTCCGGTGTACTTCAGACCCCGTCACCAGCGAGTGAGAGCTAGTGCCCTTCTGCATGGTCCGACTGATCTACTGCGCGAAGTTTGGAAAGCTGAGGCTACTTCGATGGTTGTTTTCAGAGCTAACAAGGCTCAGCGGAAAGTCTGTCGGCAGCTATCGGTACCACCTCGGGTTCGCAAAGATTTTCGGCACAAGCCACAGAAACCACTGAGGGACTGGGCAGTCTCTATGCACCTGCTCGGAGTATTTCCGCCTTCAGACAGTACTCTAGGTTTCTAGCTAAAGCGCGCTGTCGCGTTATTGTGGTCAATCGATGCAGCCATGAGCTCGATCCTGCACACGCAAAGGTACAGTATCATCGCTTACTCGCCATTGCCGAAAAAACTATCTCTCGACGGAAGTGACCACCTCCCTTGAGACTCTCAGCCTGTAGCTGATTGCGAACGCAAGGGTTCTCTGGTCGTCTAATGCTGAGCCCCAGAGCAGTCCAATTGGCATGAGTAATTGGCCCTGCGAGTGGCTGCCTAGGTGACCAGTCGCCCTCGTCACATCCGACACGTCTGCGAGAACAAGTGAGATCCAGCCACTGATTCATCGTGTATTAACGCTGCGGCTTGGGCTACTAAGTGGGAGATTGTGTGAAAGGTTCCAGGACTGCACGGCCACGGGATATAACCTGGTTCTGCCGTGTAAGCTTGCTCTTCTGAAGCGACATTGAATGTACCCTACACTTTTTCCTCTGTTATGCTTCCTATTTCATTCTTCGCTCATCTCATACTTGATCTCCTATCTTGTTAGTGCCACGACGTGTTGTTTGAAGTGCAGCTCGCTCTCAGCCTCAACAAGGGGACTTAGTTCTGTTACGTGATAGGCGTCAGCGGCCGAATGGTCGATAATCTTGTTCCTCTTACCTGTTATTTACGTTAACCCGTCTGACCTCTTGATATCAATCACAATGTCTGCGCCCTTGCGCGCTCATCATCCGCTACCGCCATCTCATCAGCATCCTTCTCCCGCTCCCGTTGGCCAGCAGTCCTATCCACTCACGTACCCGACAAGCCTTCCGTTCATTCCCGGGCATGGTCTTCTGCACCATCCTGACATCGAACGTCAAGATCGCGTTCAAGAGGCTCTTACTCCCATTCATGAACACTATCATCCTCCGCAGCCTCAGCCGCAACAGCTGCCGCCTCACTCACCAGCGCAGCCGCGTTACCCTCCATATTTCTCAAGAGACCCCTTCATACAGCGAGAAGACCCTGAAAACAACCGTTGCCAGGACTCGGCCAGCGATGGCCTCGGCGGCAGCGATGGCTCTGCGTCGCATTTCTCCACCCCTCCCTCTCATCCGCATACTTATTCTTTCGAGCCTCAGCACCATGTCAACTACAAATACAGGTCGCAGCCTACCGCGACATATTCGAACTGTCATCACCCTGAGCCTTCGGCATACATGCAGCCTCGCCAAGCGGACGAAAGCCAGAGCCAATCTGCCTATAGTACATTTTCCGGAGACCAACCGATGGATGGCGGCTTGTATACGCCCCTCAGTGCTGTCCCAGCAAAGAAAAAGAACACTAGAGCTTCCCAGGTATCAAATTGGCCCCTTCAGCTAGTCCATCGGTTCCGCTAAGCGTCCACTAGGCTTGCGAATCGTGTCGTCGAGTGAAAGCGAAGTGCGATGAAAAAAAACCATGTACAAAATGTGAAAACAGCGGAATCAATTGCGAATATTCGGATCCGCCGCTCAGATCGTCAGTACCATTGAGCCCGACGCTATATATACTGACCGCTGAGTTGCAGCACCGACAAAACTCACTCTGATATCCTCAAAGGCTTGGCCATGATGGAAACTCAGCTAACCACCCTTATTCAACAGTTCCCGCGGATGGACGAACGCCTCACAAACATTGAATCTGTGCTCGAAGCTGATGCAAATCTCAAACTGACCCCGGTGGCTAGGGGGAAGCCGACGACGGACGATCAGCACAAGACAGGGCGTACATCGTTCACCGAAGAGAAAGTCACCGAGTCCTCATCGCAAGACGCCGTTGCGGCGGATCCCGACCAAATGATCTGGCCCGAGGACGAAGTCGAGGCCAAGCCCGGCCCTCCGCCACCTCTAAGCGAGCCTGCCATCCCTATGAACCACACCACGCCAGCCGGTCTTTTACTGAACTGGCCCTCTATTCGAGAGCTGACAAAGCATCACCTTGAACGGGAAGGCTTGGGCTATGTGGGAGAATATCCCATCAGTCAAGAACGAAATCGAGGTTTATTGATCTTGTACGGGCGTAGCGAGGACAACAGAATGTCGCGAAAGAAGCGCAAACGCGAACATGACCAGCAAAGTGTTGACATGCTTGGCGTCTCTTGCGACTCTCCATCAGCTTCCACGGCGACCGAAGCGGCGGATTGGGGTACTGTGGGTCGCTCTAGCCTATATGATCAGGTCGGTCATCGAAGCGCTATTCTCGGCCCCGATGACGATCCTGACTTTTCCGAGGCCAAGATATGGTCGTATGTCAAGACATTCGAGGAAAACATTCTCAACATGCATCCAATCGTGCAACCTCGGATACTTCATCAATGGGTACGCCAGTTCCTCGATTCTCTTCCATTACCAAGAAGTCAATACAGCAACAAGCTCAGCACGGCTTGGGCCGTTAGCAGCTCTATGGAGTCTACTGGTTCGACGCGCAAGAAGCCATCCCCGGCGCCGAACATTACAGAGATCTCATCGGCGGCATCATCAAACCCCAGAATAGGCCGACTAGATCGAACGATAAATACGGCGCTCGTCCTGACCGTATTGGCACTCGGGAAAGTATGCCAGCATCGAGACTATGTGCCTGACGCCCTGTACATGGTTGATCCAATGCTTCACGGAAACGGAAGTTTTCATCTCAGTGGTACGCCTCCATTATCAAAGAGCTCGTCGCCTGGGGCTGTGTCGCGTTCGCAGTCATCAAGCTTGGCTTCGCCTTCGAATCAGGATCATCTATATCATAGCCGCCGTTCTTCCCTGGCAGGCAATACTCGACCGGGACTATTGGCAAAGAATTACGAGAACATTCCTGGCCTGGAATACTTTGCCTTTGCAACCGACATCCTGGGCAACCACCACAGATCCTACAACAACATGAAGAACATGTATGCTTACATCTTTGCTGGTCTCTTCCAAGGTCAACTCGGGCGACCTTTGGAGAGCTTATCATTCATACAAAAGGCCAGTCATAAGCTCCAGGTAATCATGAAACCCAGCTTGGAAAAGCTCAAGAGTTTCAAAACCACGCAAGAGTTTATCAAAGATACCAAGTGTAATCAGCTTTCGTTGGCGTTCTGGACCTGCCTGCAATTGGAAAGTGATTTACTCGCTGAACTTCCTCTTCCACCTTCAGGCCTCTTGTGCTATGAGAACGACATTCCGCATCCCAACATGAGCTTGCTAGAGGGCTTTCTCAAGCCGGTTCTCGACAGTTATCTCGGCCAAATTTACCTGCGAACGCATCTCAACAGCATCCATCGCATGCTGTACCCGCCAGAAGACCTGACCAAAGGCGGCCGAGCGGATATCCCGTTCAAAAACGTCGACTTTGTCTCTGATGCGGTTTCCGGAATGGAATGGGTCGCACCAAGCTTCGCCTTCAGGGAAGATGATCCTCCAGCCTCGGACATTTTATCCGCAAGACTCCGTGCCAAGTACTGGGGTGCTCAAGTCCTGACGTATCGGCCTTTCTTGAGGCAAATTTTACAGCTTTCGTTTGTTGAAAATCATTCGACCAATGAACAACTGCCTTCAGTAAAGTTCCGCGCCGAGGTCGAAGCCCCGCAGTTGCTAGTTTTCGCTCGGAAAGCCATCAAGGCTCTTATCGAGAGCACAAGGGCTTTCCATGGGCTTGGCGAGAAGCGGCCTATCATCACCAACGTCTTTGGCACTGCGCACGCGCAATGGGGCAACTTGCTGGTCTTGTCTGCTGCGTTCAAAGATCCCATCATGGGCAGATACATTGATGAAAAGCTCCTGCGCCACTTGTTTCCAGAGACGATTCGCTTTTTGCGTCAATCTGCAACGGCCACGAGCTCGCTGCGGATCGACATGCACATTCTCGAAGGAATCCAAAAGGACTTCTGGGACATTGAAACTTCCTAGAACAACTCAAGCTACCCAACAGGCAATGCGCAGACGACACCACGCATGCTTTTGGACAGCATCGACATGCCGCCGCCAAAAGGCATAATCGAAGCGGAAGTACACCACGAACACCAAAAAGTCGGTCGATGCCAGCTCGTGGATGATGTTGCCTGCGTGACGCTTATTCTGGCCACCATACAGTTGAGTTATTTGTCATTCTTTTTTGCTTATACACTATGGTGAGAGACAATCTTGCAAGGAAGCATTCTTTATTGTTTTTTCTTTTACCAACTTTTTAATCTATCTATGTACAACCACCTGCTCAGGCAACATCTTTTCTTCTTGACCTAATATATACATCTATATGCACATATGCACTATGCTCTTTCATTCTCTGACAAATGAAACGGACAATCCCACTTTGGACAATGATCAATATTCGCGTCGCACTCTTTGAAATGATGCAAAGAGATTCATAAATACCGACTGGCGGATTAACACAAAGGCTACCGGATTCAGTGCTCAGATTCGTCGGCTGTGTCCGATGCAGCTGTAATATCATTATGGCAAAGAGGGGTCAAGGAGGTTGGTGGCGTTGGACAAAGTCAGCCTCGGCGTTGACAGCCCCCAGCAGCATCTCGAGAAACTCCATGCCGCAGTCGGGCCTTCTAAAGTATTGACACAGGAGCGCACAGACGACAGAGATGCTGCGTGAATAGCTGTTTGACCTACATTTCTTGCCCTTTCAACAACAGCACGTGAGCAGATGGGGTACTGATTAAGGGCCAAAGGGATGAATAATAAAAGTCTGAATTCGTGAGTGGGGGTGTGATCATCACGCAAGAACTCGCTTGCTTCGGAGTGCCCGCCCCATACGGCTACCGGGATAGATCCCGCGGTGCTGAAGAGAATCTGTTTCAAGAGGGAATTATGTTAGGGTGTGAGAGGGGATGCATGTCCCCGACAGCAAGGCGTCGAGGGGGGTGCCACGATAACAAGATGGCGGCTGTCGTTACGATGAAACTGGGGCTGTGGGGCTGTATGCATTGGACTCGATGCTAGGGGAGATGCACCTGGTCGACAGGGAACCACGCCATCATCCACAGATGCGAAGCGCTAGCACGGTTCGTGCTGCCGTCTCGGACAAGGCTTGTGTCGTTAGGCTTGGACTACAGCGGTATTCTATGAGCGACTACAACACAGCCGTCTTTTCTTGTTGTGACCAAACTACCAATCATTCTCATCCATTTATGTTAATAGGCAGGCAGCTGTTCATTTTCCGGCGCTTGTTTCAACCTTGCTGTGCCCCCTCCCGTTATAGTGCCAGCACCTCTGCCTTAATCACCCAATGCCTGCCCGGATAAAATGCAAAGCAGAGACGAAACCAACAACGCAGACACCAAAGAGATTTCCATGTCACCTCTGCCACCATACCAGCGTCCTGAGATGTGGGACATCACCGAGGACGATTTCTGGCGCAGGAATGCCGTCCAACGCCAGGAGCAGTATGCCCGGGCCTCCCAGCGTTGGAACCACGGCAGGCAATCTACTACGGAGCACATCTGGAGCCTGAAAGTTGAACTCCGTCAACTGAGAGAGAAAGAAGACAAGCTCAGCCGAGAGCTAATGGCCGTCCTCAGCCAGGCGGCTCTTGCCAACGAAACATTCAACCACGAATCGCAACGCTTAAGCAATATGGACGTCCAACATGACATGGAACAGTGGGTTCCGTCTGAGCTTATTGGCAAAGGACCCCCGGAGAGACAAGTGAAGCTTCCACCATTGTCCAAATTGGGTCTTCTCCGACAACAACCAAATGATGACGATAGAGTCGTTGCCATCATCGACGCTGGCGGTACTGAATTAGATAAGCTCCCAGACCCTGGAGTGCCGAACGAACGCACAACAACCATATTCGCCCAAACCATGCTCCCACCGATCGAGCTAGGCGACCCCAGACGCTTTCACGCAGCCATGAAGCCAAGCATCTACAACATCACAGATGGCAAAGGCACCGATTGGATATCTTCCATGATACAAGTCACCGATACTCTCCAAAAGAAAAAGTGTCAGGGCTGCATTGCTGTTGGTGGTGATTTATATTCCGAATGCGGCAACTGTGAGTGGAATGATACCAGGTGCCAGGGATTCGAGCCCTTATACCCTACCAATATATCTGCCAGCAGATCATGCTCTCTCGCACCTCTGCGCACAAGATCCCGCTCTTTGACGCCCCCCAAGCTCTCTGGGCTTAAATTAGGGTCTCCTACCACTGCAAACCTTACTGAGATAAAAGCCTTGACGGCGCCCGCCAGAGAGACGTCCGCCAAAGAATATGCGGCACACTGCAACCCATTTGGGTTATCTGTGTCAGGATTCAAGGCTGTGAATCAGGCTTCAATGTGCAAGCCAGGCGCTCCAGTACCTAGCGCTGTTCCTTCTCTGACGGCTTCCGATGCGATCAGCTACCGAAGGGGCTCTAAAGCCTCACTTTCCAGCTGTCCGACTTCACGAGAGTCCCTGATCTTTCGGCCGGTGGAATATGTCACACCAAGTTCGTGCGACGATATAACGAAAGAAAGTCTTGACCTACGCCATGACGGCAAAGTCTATACCTACCCTGCGTGTATAGAGGGAGTGCCGGTGGAAAAGATTACCTCTGATCATCCATATTGGGAGCCTAAGTGGCCCAATCTACGGCTTTTGGTCGAACCCATCCTACGTTCATGGGAGGAAAAGTACCAGGCGGCTGAGGAAGCCAGTAGACGGGGCGAGGCCGTTGGTAGTGTCAAGTACCAGTATGGTCGCCAAGTCAATCGGGGAAACCTAATTCTGAAGTTTTTGGAACAAGGGACTATTAGCCCGTATCAGCTCCTCAGAAAGCGGTACATGGCCGTCGGCAAAGGTAGCATCACTTCCTACGACACGCTGTTCCGGCTCTGTGAGACAATTGAGTCACTTGCCAAGTACAAGACAGACGTCGACCCGGTCGATTGGCTGCGTCAGCGTCTACATGAGTTGATCGAAGCTCAGGGTACCGGCTTCAACTTTTCAAAGACTATTCACGACTTTTACAATGATCTCAAGCTGCAAGCACTGCGTCAGAAGTCGGGCTTCAAGAGCATCGGGAGACCCTACGGTATCAAGATGCCGCGGCAAAGAGCTGGAAGTGCGAATGAAGCCCCCTCGGCTCATCGCTCGCGTAAGCGCAAGAGCCCTCATTCATACGACGCACCGAGCGCACCAGCCGACTCGATTGGTGAGCCGCGGACGGTTGACACTGATGCCGATAGAGGTCCTGATCAAAAAAAGCAAAAGGCGGCCGCTAGAGTCTTGGATAGCCTGGAGACGGGCGAGGTGTCGGACGTCGACTCATGGAGCGGCGCCCCGATTGCCGAGTACGACTTTGGCATCTATCAGATCAAAACGCGGCTGTTTATCAGCTCAGGAAATGTGACGCAGTACTGGGTATGGGTGCCAGAGAACAGCATGTTTGAGCACCAAGTCCTAGTGGAGACGAACCCGGTAGTTTGGGGCGTGCACCGGGAACCGATTGACTTTAGCCTGCGGCTCAAGGATGTGGTCAAAGTTTCGTGGAACCTTAAAGCACTGCGGGTCTATGTAGTGATGAGCGACAGACAAACTTGCTCCAAGAAAGACAAGCCCCGGGGCGACATTATGGTTGCGTTTAAGAGGGAGAATACGTTGCGGAGGTTCGTCACGCTTTGCCGGCGGGAGGAGATTGAACTTGTGGAAGAGACTTGGTAAGTACAGCTGGAATCTTGGCCAGTGTCACGGCTCGTTCTAACAGTTTCTAGGAAGAAGATGGAGCATCTATGGCGGACGATGCAGTCGGAGCGTCTGCTGGCGGGTGAAGAAACGAGAGCACGAGGCTGCAGGGACGTCTTTCCCAGCCACAGCGGCAGCGCAGTTAGCAAGACAGAATTCTGGTCGTACACCTAGCTCAAAGTTTTTCAATTGGTGCTTTGTTTCAAAATGGCACCCAACCGACGGTTTACGTTAACTGTAGCAGCCATTACAAGCATCGGGCGGTCTGTGGGGGAGAGGTCGTCGGTTTCCCGAGCGGGCCGTGGCAGAGCTTGCAAGGGCAAGGATATAGCTAATTCGGTGCGGAAGATTAAGGCAGGCGTAGAGGTCAGAACGGTTTCGGGATGTATATTCTTCAATTATTCGAAATGCCCCTAGGGATCTAGACGAGATTCTTCAAGGTCTTGGCCGCGACTACCAAGGTGACTAAGATGCCAGACGGAGTGCACAGGTTTTTGGTATATTCAGTTAACTTGCACTAATTGACTTGTGCTCCGAGATCTGTCCAGATCCTCCGTTCTTTCATTTTGCTCTTGTTCATGCTTCACGCCCATTTCTGGGAAAGGTACAGAGCAGCATGGTGCTTATCTCAAGCACTTGCAGGAACTGCGTCTATTCAGAACCGCAGAGCTCAGAGTTACGGTCACTGATGATGCGTGACTGAATTTCTGGAACGTCGTGATTTCTTGGCCATGCCGGAAGTGTTGCCGCAGTTGCCTGCGGCGGAACGCTCGCCGGTTTTGGATGGCGTTATGGAGGAGGCAATACCAGTCTTAGGCCAAGATCACGACGACATACTGGTACTGATCTATTGGCGCATTGAGTTGCATTGGGTTAAGAGCTATTTGCATGGACAACATTTGGATTTGCAGGCACCGGAGCACCATCGGCACATGAAGCTACGAATCATAAGTGCCGCCATCGTGCAAGGCACACGATGGCCACCCAAAAAAGGGTACAGGCCCGGTACGAGACCCTTCTCTACGAAATAATCCTCTGCAGTCGGATCCGCACAACAAATTACACAGAACTAGACCGGTTTCAGAGCTGCTCCCTCATTTGCTTCTTTTCGCCTTCGCACAACGTCAGCCAATATCGTCTCGAATCCCCAAAGTGTCCTTCGTCAGGCTTTATGCGACGGCTGCAGACAATATTACCGGGTCACTGCGTTTCTCTCCGGCCTGGTCGCCCGTGTCCTGGCTGCGACCCTACGAAGTGTTGGGCGAATGTTTTGTATCCTTACACAGTACCTCTCTACTGCAAAATGAGCCTTGTTCGATGACAGGGTTCTAGTTACCCTGCCAGGCATGGGTGCTCAGAGCCCTGTACTTACTTCAATCTTCCTTGTCGGTACCGGCCAGGTACATAGTCATACGAAACTTACTCATCAGTACTATTGATTCTTTTGTAGCATGCACGCCCGTTTCGTGAATATAAAAACTCTGCTTATAGAACCTTCGCGAGGATAGCCCTCGCTCACACAAACTCTACATACGGACACATCACCCGTCCTTTTTTCCCTTCGCTGCCTTTCTGCATTCCTAACCCCTGACACCCCGAGCAGACGGAAAAAACACACCCACAACGATAACAACAACACGGCGCATATGACGGTAGTGGAGCGCATCTCCGCGCTCCCAGGGGAGCTACGCCTTGAAATTTTGGACAGATGCTCGCTTGGAGAGCTTATGATCCTGGCCAATGTTAACCAGAAGGCCCGCAAACTAGTGAAGTCCAGAATGCAGGAGCTCTGCCTCCACGTTCCAGGAGAGCTTCACGATCTCGACCAAACGTCGCTACGGACCCTTCGCTACATCTGTGCCGATACTACCAAGTACATCTGCACTATAGCCACTAGCTAGCCATTATCGCAGCTAACCAGAATTATAGAACTCTTATCGTGCTTCTTCCCGAAGCAAGATGTCTTTCAACAAAGTACGACCCTAAGCCCTTTCACGCGGCCGACCTGCAGTGGAAAACGCTCACCTCAGTCATGACAAAGATGACTGTACTGTCTAGCCTTCAAATTGGGAACCCTAGCTCCCTTAACGGCAATTTTTCGCAGTCGATGAAATTAGCCGAAATGCTGACTGTGATGCTCTTGTCCAAAGAGCTTCCAATCGAACACCTTCAAATTTGGGCCACGGCTGAAATGACTTCACAAATCATGCGGCACGTATTCTATGCATTGCTCGGGGAACGATGCGTTGGATGTCCAATCTATCTAGACTTCGCAAAACACATGTTTGGAAGGCACCCACGATTAGACGAGCTTGAAATTCACGGGGGAAAGGACGGCACGACTTCCAGGTTGACTAAGGGGGAGTGTGACTTGTGCAGCTGTCGGCTGCATACTACTTACGTTGGGGAAGTTCCCTGTCCGGGAGGACTCTCTGAATTTGTGGCCGAGCAAGTCGGCCCGATTACCTCTGAAGACTTGGAGGAAACACTCATCTTTCTGGGTAACCATTGAATAGCCACATCGTGTAGCTGTCACAGTTATCTACAACGAATCAACTCTTTCTCTCTCATATTTCTGCGTCTGGTTCCCATCATGTACATGCCCTGTGTGACGTTGCCGAGGGGCTGCCTCCAGCAGCCCTGATAGGCAACAGGCTCCCTGTCGGGATACCCAGCTGCTTGCTATGATGGCTGGTTGGCTAAAAGGATCAATAGGAAATATAGTCTTTATGAAAGTATTAATCTGGGTCAGGCTGGCAGCCCTATATGGCCACAGAGGGAGGGCATGTCCAAACCCCACCCCCCTCGCGCGTTGGTAGTCCCCGAGTAAGCGGAAGTAGGTGAGTGATTAGACTTTCGTACAAATTTGCCGCTCACACAGTGACACGGTTGAATCACGGCTACAACTGGGGCACCAGTGCGCAGTCCGTCCACCCGGTCTGCCCACTTTCTGTCCAAACTTCGACCAATTACACTAGTTTGACATCCAACAACTTCCAAATGAATGCCGCTTTTCCTCACGGGGCTAGACGCCATTCCCCCTTTCCTGGCTACGCGACTCAGTCACGACACGGCCTATGACAGCCATGACCCCCCAGAAAAGTACCTCTCAGAGGGCCTCATGCCGCGAACTAGTACCTCGAAGTAAGTGATGCTGGCTCGATGTGCACGGCAGAGCTGCATAACTTGGCATGGATGCTCCGTACGCCCAGTGTCCACTTAGCTGACAGATGATGTGGCTGCTGTGCGGGAACGGTTCCTGACTGTAGTGCAGGATATAGCTGCCTCGCAAGACCTGCCACGCACGAAAATACTGGACTTTGTGTTTTTGCGTCAGTCTCGGGGTCGAAATCCGTCCGTCACTGACGATTGCCTAGTAAAAGACTGAAAATGACACTGTGGGTCCACAGAACCGCAACCCAGATATGGAAATGTTGTTCGTGGGTAATCGGCTATACCGTAGTACGTCTACGGGCCGGCTAGGCAACTAATTGACAATGACCGGTCTGTGTTGAAGATACTTTTGATACCAGTGTATTTACTTGATGCAGCATTCACCGCTGAGGCTTGCTCTGATCGGGGCTTTCAAAACTATGTACATGGCCGTCACCAGCCTTTAGAATGGTAGCCGTCCGATGTGTCTTTGTTGAAATACTGATTCCAACTGCTGGCGTTGGCGTCTTCGCTCTGCTTCAGATAGGGCTTTTTCGGAAACTGCTCCAGGTTGGCAACATCGTGGGAGGTATGGCGACGCTTGAGCACAGCGTTGGCAGTCGACGTCTTCTGCTGACGCTCCCAGAGAAGATGGCGGCGAAGAGACTCTGTTAGCTCGGTAGCAAGCATGTTACGGCGAGTAGTTCGCGGTGACAGAGATACTTTCGCATGTACGTGGTTGGCGGGGTTGACAATAGGCTGGGCGCTCGAGCGAGGCACCTCGATGATAGGTCGGAGTTTGGAAGAACGCATGCCCTTCATTATCAGCGGGCCCTTGTTGAAATGATGAGAGGCACGCAGAATTGGGGCACTGGTCCCTGCGCGCGATCGGGTGATGGCTGAGGCAGAGTGGGAAGCTTGGTTGCTGGGATTCTTCTGGCGCTCATTCTGGGCAAGCATGAGAGTGATGAGAGACGGGCGGGAGACCAGAGCCTTGGACTCGACGCGCTGGAAGAACATGCCATCTATACTCAATTTACCGCTGTGTTCCATGGAGTCTTCCCAATCAGACGGGTCGTCATCGTCATTAATGGCGCTCTCATTGACATAATCGTCCTCGGTATCAGGGTCGATTGCGCACTCGGCTTTGAGTTGAGAGTTGTGGCTGGTGGCGATAACATGCTGTTTGATCTTCAGGGGGCCGAGAGCCTTGGCGGGTTTGATAGCAATCTTGGTAGAAGCAGACTCGGAGGAGCCACCAATCTGGATCATGGCCTTCTTAGGGCCGGATACAAGGCTAGGCTTGGGCAACTCGACGATCATGCCCTGTTCGCTAGAAGAGCACGAGCCGCCAAGAGCAAACTTGGCCGGTGCCCTCTTCTGGGTGATGGTCTCGGTCGCGATTGGGGCCGGGACGACGAGAGCCATCTTGAGAGTAGTGGGGGGGGAGGTGGCGGTGGGTGTTGAAACAGGAGCAGTGTCGTTGACAATGGAGATGACCATCTGTATGAACTCGTCGGAGCTGATGTGGCGTTCACGCTTGCTGGGGCTGCTAGTCGAGTCCAGACGATGTATCCGGGGCCGCATAATCTCAAGAGGTGCCGACTCGGAAGCAAGTATGGTGGAACCCTCATCGACACGCAAGTCAACGCTGCTAGAGAGTTGAGGAGGCTCTTGGGGAGGCGATGGGGCTGTCAGAAGCAAGGTGTTGATGGCAGTGATGGCGCCGAGTCGCTTTCTGTTGTTGACTAACTGTTCTTTCTGCCAGTGTCTCCAGCTGAGGTTTTCTAATCTGCGGCCTTGCTTGAGTGAATCTGCGCTGCGAGAGAAGACTAGGTTCTGGGTCAGTCAATCATGTCATGCTTGGGTGAGCGGCGCGTAGAGCGCAACCAGGCCGGCAAGGGTTACTTACCAGTCCATATGCCATACAGGTTGGTAGGGTTTGCGGCGTCAAGCTTGTAGATAGCGTTAGCATCCACTGTTAAGACGTGTGTGGACATGGTTGCGAATGTGGTGATAGCTCAGGAGTCGCGAACAGTATGAAAATGGTGGTGAAGAAGGCTTGTTGGGAACGTGTACAGTATGTGTAATGGTACTCAGAGTGGTCGACGTGGTATTGAACGAACGCGCAGCAATGCACCTTGGTATAAAAAGAGTCGGTTTTGCAAAGCAGTTCTTTTTGATTGTGGAAGGAAAACATGACTAGTGGTCCACGGCGCCATGACTGATCCTGACTGCATCAGTCTCATTTGCTAAGTATACTCAAATGGGCTACGATTAACTGTTCTTAGTAAGGAGTCGGATCATTTTGCATACCAATTCAGCAGGGGCGGACTTGACCATCTGCGGAGGCCCGGGGTAATCACGGCAAGCGGCTTGCTTCCCTGGCAGATATGTTGCTAGCTATGACGACGCTACGGGCCACCACGCGGCCAGCTTACCATGCCGAGCGTTCTTTGCTTTGTTCAGGCCGAGCAGTGGTGGAGCCATGCAATGCGACACCATCGACGGAAGGATCAGGAGAGGTGTTGAGTGAAGTTGCCACAGGGCGTGTAGCATTGGCGGCGTGGCTAAATCGCCCAGCGAAGCAAGTCAGTGTTAGCAACGACAACCTGTTCCGGCGGGCGCTGGAGTCGACGGGAGCCATTCTGCGGTTGCTGAGCCTTCGGACGACGAGTCACAACTCGAATCAAGAATTTGCGAGGTCTTTGAGCAGTGTCTCTGTATTGACTATGTGGAAGTTAGACCAGTTGCGGCCCGGAAGACGGCCGCTTCCTTCGTGCCAGGCTGCCACACCGCTGTCCACCTAGCAACATGGAGGGACTCCTGATCGTCCTTGCTAATTGCGGATTCGCAAGCATAATTGAGACCCAGTAGTAGAGACGAATTACAATAGCTGTAACTTTCACAATCCCTCGTGCTGCCCTGTCTTGATATTTCGACCACAATACCACTGTCGGCAGCTGCGCTGCCGACGAGCTCGAGAGCCTCCTGGTCTGATCTTGGCACTCTAGCATGATTGCATTAGCCGACAAGCCAGTGTCGGATATCTTGCCATCGTGGATATAGAAACTCTTATGTGTACAGGCTGCGGAGCTTACGGAGGTGTCTTTTCCCGCCAGGGGTGCGTCAGCTTGCGCTTTCAATATGTTTACCCCCGCCGCTGAAAGCAATCTCCAAGTACAGAATTCTCTACATAGCTGAGGTGTGTGTGATTTCTGACACATAATATTCGCGTCACTCCGCCTTTAAATCATCTAGTTGTGCTAATCATCTGTCTTCAATTATACTCATCTTTTCCTCCCTTTATGTCAGTGTACTGTGTACTGGCATTGAAGCGGCTTCGCTATCTATCAACATGCCTCTACCGCTCTTTTTCCGCCGACTCCTCGAGCCTAAACCTACTATCTATTTCATTTCTGCAGAAGAATCAAGAGACAGCCGCAAAATCGTGAACATGCTGCAAGACAGTCTCTATCAGATGAAACGCGGCGACCCCGCACGATTGGGCAAATTCAAAAAAACTATTGTCCTCTACGATGAGATGGTTGACCAACGACGTCTATTCGACCTGCTCACTTTACACAAATTTGACATACTCATACTCATTGGCGGCGACACGAGCTTGAAATATTATGATGCGACAGTTTTAGCCGACGGTTGCATTACTGTTGAAAGACGTGGCATGGATGGAGTAGGCGCAGCTCGACGTGCAATACTGACAACGCTTGGGATTTCAATTGAGCCAACGTTGGGACATTATTCAGAATTTAGGAGCGGATCAAAAGATTTTGCATCCTCAACATACTTCAATTGATAGAGATCCGACTAATAGAACTTTTGGTGCTTATGGCAGTAGCGCCCGGATCGCCGTGCTCAGCAGCGGATGAAGCGCGCTGAATGAAGTGGCTTTGCTGGGTCATGGCATATTGCTGCGAATCATAAGAGAGGACGTCTTGCATGCCTCATTGATATGTGTGCTGGTCGAAATCGGGAAAGAAACCGTTACTCTGAGGCGTGGACAGGCCGGGTGCAACGGCGGAGACAGGCCCAGACATGGCAACCTGGGTAGGATCGCGAGGAGTCTTGTCCATATTGTTGGCGGAGAGGTCGCTCTGGGGAGAGAGGTATTGGTGCTCGACTGTGGCTACCGTGCGGCAGAATGTATCGAGGCAGCCATCGCGGGAGCATATGCATCGCTCCTCGCCTTTATGAATGTGGCGACGGCGGTCTATGGTATGTTAGTGACAGTACATTGACAGATCTGAAGTGTATTGTAGCGGAATATCGCACCAGGCTGTGAGGCAAATGCTTGGAGATGAGGATGGCGTGGGAGCTGAGCTGTCCGCATTGTCACAGAGTAGAGACTGGATTGTGTAACCCATGGACCGAGTTTGTGACGGGCGCCTGGTTGTACAAGCAAAGAAAACAACAACGTTCCTGAACAAGCAAGATTGGCCAGCGGAGCACGGAAGATTGTGTCAAATCACAGAGGCGAAGAAGAGAGCGCCAGGCTCGCCGCGAGGCGGCGGCTGCAGCCAGTGGCTGTCCGGGCAGGAGGCCGGGAGCCCAGTCGTGAAGGATGGCGCCGGGGAGAGGGTGGTAGACATTAGCGAATTAAACTAGACCAGGGGTGAGGTGTGTCTATAAGAATACATTCACCATTGCCACCGAGGGTGGGGTGGCAGAGTCAGATACCTGCAGGCAGGTGTGTTCTGTTAGTTCTCCCCGGCTCGCCATATCAAAGCACTTCTGTAAATCCATCCCAGTGTCGTACACAATCTGTCCTGCAAGCTTGCATGCGCCCGATCCTTTGACTGCATTGTACTCCTGCTTCAAGGTGCTTGCTATGCCCTTATTCTTTCTGCGACACGGGGAGCCTTCCAGTCCTTGACCATGACTACCACGATGTAGTATCATCCGGAGTGTAACCCGCACCCCGCGAATAACGGGCTATACTCCGTCGGCAACCTGCGCGCCAACGACTTTCAACAGCTGCCTAACGCATAACATAATACCGTGAACGCCGGGGGCGTTGCGAGAGAAAGGCGCAGCGCCAACGGATTGATACTTGCGATCCCCATCTACTATACCTGCCACGGGTACCGTTTATTTTCTTTTCTTCCCCTTCTTGTTCAGAGTGCTCTTCTCTGTCTGATACCTTTAGCTCTTCCCACGACTTGCCTTGGGCGGCCCGCAGGGACTAATCTGGTAGGCTGGATGGAAGTCTATCTAGGACTGTTCCTGAGCCCGGCAATCGAATTCCGATACCTGGACACATATCGGCCTCGATAGTATAGTGGAGAGTCAAGAGCTCCCCCACGTTTCCCTACTTCATGATACAAATTCTACAGGCGGGTTCTCTAGGTCAAATGTGTACTGGCCCAGTACGCCACGGGTCCTCGGCTGTACGCGTGAATCACGTCGCGACACGCTGATTGGTGAAAGAAACCCGCTTTTCATTGGGGGGGCGAAACAGGGACGATCATTTCTTGTCTGTTGTATTTCTGAATTTTCGGAAATCTGATTTCACGTGCATCCTAGCCATGAATAATACCAGGGGCTCAATCCATCGTCATCGGGTTGGACAAGTTGGAACCAGCAGCGCCTACCTTTGATGTACCACATCGTGGCCTACATTCAATTCATCTCCACCATGGCGTCCTGAATGCCTCACTTTATTCTCGCTGCCGGGCATAAAAAAAGCCTGTCTGATTTCCCAGGCTGCCCCACGAAGCTGCATTAACTGGCAGTGGTGCGTTCCTGCGCTGTAATACCATCAACTACAGGATCAGGTCAGCTGCGAGAACCCGCGAACCCGTCCGTTCACTCAAAAACATGACGGCCAACGTTGAGGGCACGCCCGGGGCGCAACGGGAACTCGGCCCCATTATTTGTAGGACGTTGACAGGCTGATCTTCAAGTATCCACAATTTTTCATAACGGAATACTGATACTGAGTAGTTTTTATGTCCTCTGTTTATGCTCTCCACTTACCTCCTCTAGTTATATCCTCTTGTTTCTTTTCTTTTCCTCGCGTGCCGCTTTAAGGGCACGTGATAGATGGAATGCGCCACTGGAGAGCAGGCTAAAATTTAGGACCCCCTTGCCCACTAATTGTAGCCTGTTCTCTAGTGGCGCAGTCCATCTCGCACGTGATCTTAATCCACTGTAGCTGCAGGTCCTTCAGCTTTCGCGTTACCTCTTCCTCCTTACCTCCTATCGTTACCTCTTCTTTGTTACCTCTTCCTCCTTACCTCCTATCGTTACCTCTTCTTTGTTACCTCTTCTTTGTTACCTCTTCCTCCTTACCTCCTATCGTTACCTCTTCTTTGTTACCTCTTCTTTGTTACCCTTCTCTGTTACCCCTCTCTTTCCGTATAGGCACACACAAATGACTGCTTCTGAACAATCTGAGCCTCACAAGCTTTCCTGGATGCTAGAAGCGGTGAGAAAACGCCAGAGAATGCCAAGGGATGGGAAGAAGAGATATTACAATGCTAAAGAAGGGGAAGAGACCAAGGGCGGCCGTGAATTTCTCCGAGCAGGCATTGCAGCATGGGTGGTGTACGACGTCAACCGAGTCAGCGCCGAGGGTGGCTGCACCTTCGGCGGGCAAACGAAGCTGTACGAGCGAATGGTAGCCCTTGAAGAAGAGGCAGCAGAAGACCCAGAGGCACTGAGACAGCAAGCCACCACCCTTCTCAAAAGAATGCAAGATAAAGAAGCTATGGAGTTCATCGACAGATTCGCGAAAACCATCGACTCAAACTATGTGTCTCAATCAGGTTTCAAGCCTGGAAAGAGGAAATTGATAGAATCGGCAATATTGCATAATGGAGAGCGCCGAGCTAACCTGGCCCAGGCGAGAACGGCGACGCAGCATGATGGCTGTGCTACTGCGCCGGTGGCAGATACGGCGACGATGCTTGCGGTTAGACGCAGTACAAAGGCGTCGGATACCTTCGGGGCATTTCTTGGCCTCTCACCATCGAAAGCGTCCTTGCTTTTCCCAGCTGAGTTGCTGGCTAAGGTCCAGGCGCTTGAGCAACGAACCGGCACGAGCGATCTACTTCTCGATATAGGGATGGCATTTGTTGTAGGAAAGCTACGTTGGGGATGTATCGTTCACGTGAAAGTGCAGCCACAATATGTCAGCAGCCTTGCGCTGAGGTTGACGGGCATCGAATTCGAAGAGGCTGGTGGCGTTCGGTTCATGTCTTCCCAGAATTGTCGCATCCTACCAAACTCAAACCTGATTCTCTGTGGTTTAAATCCGGAAGCCCTGCGAGAGCACTGCTGTGACGACATCTTCCAGGCTTGCCTGCCACGAGAAGTTGAAGAGTCTAATGCACTCTGGCCAAGTGCCAGTTCTTCTTTCTCCATCCCCGCAAGCTCACACGAGGCGGGCGAGCTGGTTTTTAGGATTGACTCCGCCGTAGGATCAAAGTTAAAGGGCAGATTATTTCCTAAGTAATCTCTCGAAAGCCTCCGTCACGGCCGACAATTATTATAATAAAGATTCCCTCCGGCACGAGGCCCTGCCCTGTAGTTATCTGAATCATCTGATCATGTTTCTCTTTCGCTCCCTCTATTTTATATACGTCCAGGCCACAGTTCTTAAACCGTAGTGTTTGACCGGTGCCGTCGACGCGAGTACCGCTGCTGCAGTCGAGGTTTTTCCAGATTTCAGGATCGTCCGGGTCGAGCGGTATGTACTCGAACTTTTCTTCGTCAGTGGCAGGAAAACGATGTAAAGTTTACAACCTACCATTTCTTAGAGCTGAGGCAGAGGGTATGTACAAAACGCAGGCGTATGCCAGCCGAATAACCGAGACAAAATAGAACGGCACGTCGTAGTACTACGAAGAAAATGACTCAAAAAATCGTGGCGGGGTCGGTGGATAATTTAAACAAATTTCTAAACCCTGACGTCATAAGCAGAGACAGCAAAAGAATGTGCCTAGAAACATTTTATAGATAATCAACCTACTAGTATAAGGAAGAGTGAGAGGTCGAGAAACCAGATGTTAACTTGATCTACATCTTCACTTCGAGTATTACCCATCATCGTTTCACTTTCACGCGATGAAATCGGTATCAGGCTGTTCACTTAGCAACATCTAGTCGTCCTTTCAGTCCCTCCTAAATTGCCACCCCCATTTTCTGGGGCTCAGTAGTAGCAGTACAACAACCACCCGTAGAAAGAGGGTGCTTACCAGCAAACCAGACGCACCACCAAAACAGTCGTTCACATATTAATTCTATAACAAAAAAGCTATTTTCTATATCTATAAGAAAATAAATACATCAAATAGTTAGCTAAAATTTATACTTCCTATAATATATATCTATAATTAGTAGCGGCAGAGGAGGAGGAGGTGCGGCCGCAGCGACATCGGGCGGCGGCGAATCCGCGCAAGTAGGAGGTCGTGGAGATCGAAAGGTGAGCAAAGCGGCGGCATGAGAAAGCGTGAAATTGGCGGCGCATCGTCGTTCGAAGTTGTGATGGTTTTGACGAGGGGAAAGAAGAAATTCTGAAATCGGAAGCGCGGCTTTGTAGATCCATGATAGGGGAACTTTGGTTCCGAAACTCCTTTAGAGCGCATTCCCTTCAAAAAAGCGCGTGGCCACGAAAAGGGCCTGATGATCGCGCCCAACCATGAAGCCCTCGCGAACGCATTACATGCCATTGGCTGCCGTAAACGAGTAAACCGGGTCCTGACGTCGCGAATACGGGTTCCGGCCCTAGCCTTGCACAAGGCAACGGCCGATTGTTGCTCCAGGGAGCGGGGCACGTTCGTCCGTGTGACCCCCGACAATTGATCGCGGCGGGGTGACGCACTGTGAGGCACGCCCGGTGCCGGGATAGGGACGCACTTTCCCGCGTCGCACCGTTTCGCGCCCGGCGGGGCGGGGTATGTCATGCATTCGAGCCCAAACCCGCCTTTTCAGAACACCAAGTGTACAGGAGCTCTGACGTATATACAAACGCGAGAGGAAGATACCTTTTGTGTGTGGTGGTGTCGTGTGTGGCTAGTATCCACTGCGAGCGAGTGGGGCGAGGCACATGTACTCACGTCATTGCCTCTGGGAACCCATTTTGTTACCTCCTGATATTATATCGTCATCTTATGTCCTCTTGTTATATCATCTCTCTATATCCTGCTGTTACCTCCTCTTACTACCTCATCTTACTACCTCCTCTTACTACCTCCTCTTACTACCTCCTCCTATTACGTACCCCCCTTTCGTTATCGCCTCCACTTACCTCCTCTTATTACTCGCCATGCTATGTCCTCTTTTTGTGTTCTCTGCTTGACCCTCTCGTACCGCCTCTAGTTATGTCCTCTTGTTATGTCCTGTCGCTACATGTTCAGTTCTAAATTTATGCCCATGCATCATCACAAAGTGACCGCAACTAGATTACTTTACAAGGGAAACACTAGCTGCTAATATGCACAAAGCACTACCCGGCTAACCCTACCAGTAGACTTGCACCAACATGGGGGATACAGCCCAGGCCTATCAAACGGTCATGCTAGCCAAAGCATCTGCAGTGGGCAAGCTGAACGTGCCAAGCTGTGTCCAGGCGTATAAAGGCA